CAAGTTTAGACATCCAGACTGACAACGCCAACTATCTTGCTTACCTTCCTTCTGGCTTTTGCTATTATTCTGGTGTCTGCTAATACGGTAGGGAGAGAAGACTGTATCTGAATATAATATTCAGAATTAAGACAAAGCAATAGCTCACATAGAGCCTTCGTTTTCTTCACCTGTTATACTCCTTTCTTAACATTCTTATTCTTGAACTCAAACAAGACCTCATTACCAGGAACTATCTGTTGTTGCTGTTCCTTATGAATTAGCTGCTTGCTGGCATTTTTCTCTCCCTGAGATGTTTGGAATGACTAGCATTGGGCAAACTTTCATCCCTCATGGGACATTTCAAAAGACATAGGCAGTTCCTCTCCAGGAAAAGCTGGAGAATTCAGAAGACACAGAGTCTCAAGCAGAATGTCTACCCACGTTTCCCAAAACCAGACTTATGTTGTATTTACACAATTGATATTAAGCTGCATGTAATATTGCTCCTTTAGCACTTTCTGCAGTCTTTCCCCATTCCCATCCGTGTGCCCCAGGAAAGCACAGACGGCTTGGCCAGGCCGTGGGTTTCATGAGGAGCAGAGGACCAGGGACATGCCTGGCTGGAGGTGATCGGGCATGTTCCTGCTTGGCAGGAGGGAGAGTGAGACTCCACTAAGATTATTCCGGCTGCCAATTGCCCAAGCAAACACCAGGCCACATCCCTGCATTCTCCTTTTCATACCACGGTCCTACATTCATGCTCCTCTTTCAGATCCTCCATGACAAAATCGAACTCCCCCACACCGGAGCCCTGCAGCCAACCTGCTCAAGCTGCGACCATGCAGGCACAAACCAAGGAAGGATCTCCAGAAGGTGAACTTTACTGAAACTGCTACACACGTAATTTAAAAGGATCAATGATTAAGTAGCTACAGTATATGTTAGTTTTTCTTTATTATACTAATTACCATAGATTTTTGACAAGCACTTGCGTCAACTCTACTGAGTTGCAGGGCTTGTGCCTTTAGCCTTAAAGCTGACAAACATTAAGGATCTTTGCCATCTCAGCACAGACCTAAGACGGGTCAGGACCGATGAGAGAGCAGGGAAGACGCTCACTATGCTGCATGTGCCACCCAAGGGAACATGAACTGGGTGCGATGGGGTAGCCACAGTTCCTCCCACACAAAGCCGAACCCGTGCGGGTGGGAGGATGGCAGAGGGCAGCAGGATTTCCTTTCCGCTCGCTAACAGGAGTCTCTGTCGGCTCTCTGGGGCTGCACTTTCACACTTAGAGTCCATTAAATCCTCAGTTACACTGGTTTTCTACTGTGGTCTAGACAGCCTTTTCTCATCCACAGCATTAAAGATGTCATTGCCTTCACCTTCTCACAAAGTTTCGATTTTTGCCTTTGTGACTGTTGTGTCATATCCTCGTAACACTCTTTTTGTGACCATTGCCGAGCCTGCGATGACACAAGATGGCAGAACACAAGTCTGTTTGTCATGCCATACTCCAGACTCCTTCACAGGCGATACAGAGTGCCTAAGGTTATTGACACGAGGCTGTGATATGATTTTCTCAAAGCATTCCTACGTATCTATGCTGGGTATTCCTACATCTCAAATCCTCATTTATGGAGAAGAAACTAAGCCCTGAATCTGCTCCGGTCACTGCCAAAGCCACGGTGGTCTGGCTTGCCCGCATCCACAGCCAGGCTCATGGCAGTGGTGGCTAGCAAGTCTGGAGGACACAGGGCTGCGCAAGCCCGTGGGACCTTACCAAACACGGTGACACAGGGAAGCTGATGGCCATCTGCAGAGCAGCCAAGAGGACAGAAGATGGGTAAGAAACACAGCATACAGTGCTTATGACCATGCAAAACTTGTTTTTTTTAGGTACAGACATATCCAGAGCAACATGAAAGCCTGCCTAAGATCCTACAAGGAAGCAGTAGATGGGAACTGAACTCTTCTCCAGAGACCTACACCAACATTACAGGGCACTGCATCCCCTCTCCAGGGCACCACACAGCGCTTGTGCCGTTAGCCCTATGCAATTGCAATATAAAAGACACAGGACAGTCTTGGGAGAACTATGCAGGACTTGCACCATTCCTTAGCCTAAAGTATTTGGCTCAACATTCCAGTTGTAACGCAAGGCTCATCATTTTGGATAGTGGTGAATATTGTATGAACAGCAATGTTGTGTAAAAATACCATATTCTTCTTGCTTTCCCTTACAAACAAAAGTTTATTTTTGTTGCATACAGATGGAGATTCAATGTTTGGAGATTCAATATAGATGCAGCCTTCTAGAAGCGTTTTATAAGGTGGCGGTAACGACCTGAGAGTTACTAAAACCATATTTGGTAAATTTAGTCTAAGCAATTCTGAACCGATGTAAAATAAATAAGGAAGATACATCGACAGTGTTCATTTGAAACTTTGAAAAGCTGCTAAATATTTGGCATAAAAGTATTTGACTTTTTTTCTATCTTAAGACTCTTGTATCTGGAAATGAGGGTGTGAATATATATAGTTTGCAAAATTTTTAAGTTTTTTTTTCTTAATTGGAGTTATGCCCTCTTTAACATTTACTCTTGATTACTTCCTATTGACAGTCACTAAAACAAAGAGTGTATATTAATGCAGACGAGAGTTTCATTCATAGATGGTGAGTTATAACAGGATTATTTGCAAGTGCAAAGATCACTCACATGAATAAAGATTTGGTGGATCAGTGACTCCACTGATAAAATGAATAAAATCCTTCTCCAAAAACAATCCAAATATGTTTTCTTGCTACTTATCCAAGCACGTCTACTTTTGTGTTGTTCCAGATTAATTAACTGAAAACATAATTATTAATGAGAGCTCGGATAGGGCAGGAGAGGAAACATTCTTCTCAGTGATCAACTTGCAGCCACAACACAAAACCAGTTCTGTTTGTGCAGGAAAAGCAACCCCCTCCTGCTACATTATTCCATTGATCTACAAACATTTACATCTCCTTTGTTAACTAGTTTTCTGTAGAAATTTCATAATCACTAAGGAACGCTCTTACAACTGCACGTCAAGAAACTTCTGTGAAGTAAACTTGGATCAGTCTAAAAAACAGGGTCTATTCTTGCCTTTAAGTCGTGTTATATGTCAAATCTGTTGGGCTTTTCTTGGACGTTCATGAGTCATTGTAAATAATTCAAACTGGATTTACAAAAGAGAAGAGGCTCTACAATGAACTTAAGAACTGCACGTTACTATATCCCTGACAGTCGAAACTAATAGAAGTATTTCATAAAGCCCAATCATAAAACGTTTTCTCTTCCTCTTTCACATTGTTTGTGATCTACATTCAGTATCAGGTTGATGAAAATGAACATTTTGGAGGATTTCTGTCCAACATAGTAATAAAGTCTAATTAACAAGTTATTGTGGCTATGGCAAGAGAATACCCTCACCTGAATAAACTCTTGTTACTCGTACAATGTGCACTGAAACTAAACAAAGACAACATTAGTAGCTCACAGATAAACAAGAAACACCTTTGAAGTATCACTGCAGCAACATTAACGCAAGGTGCATTCCCCTCCCATGTCAGCAGGCTGCAACGCACTACTACGGGAAGCCGAGACCAAGAACACACTATTTATTTATTTATATATTTATTTTAAGGACTAGGCACTTTGACAAGTAACAAGTGTTCTGAGTTACAGGAATTAATAACGTATTTCGAAAATTCATGTTCAGCTTTAAGTTTCAGGATTTAAATCCTATGTTTAAGATACCTTATAAACGTGATGCTGGTGCTGCACAATATGAGCAACTGCAGACACAATACAAACCTGGCTTTATGCACCCAATTTTTGATTAAAAAAAGTGATCAGCAGCTGAAGATTTGCCTTGAGAACAGTTAACGAGCAGCAGAGTTTATTTTTATTATGTACACTTATGAAAGACAGCACTAAAATATGGAATCAACCAATGAAAGATTAATAATTCATGTATGTTAAGTCAGAAAAAAGTAGAATTAGATCTAAACCTACCACCACTGATGAAAACAGGCTTTCTCCAGCTATCTGGTTTAGGTCATGTCAGATCCTCTAGCTGAGCATTTCTAGTACAGAAGCGCTCTCTATCAACAATCCAGACTAATTTTGAAAGCATACTCTAATCACTTTCCCTAACTGAAAGCCTGGCTTAAATTAATGTAGAATCAAGAGCAGCACTTACCCTAAAGGGGTGTTTGAAGGCCTGAGTGTGGAAAGCGCTCAGGACACCGTATTATCACTGCAAGCCAGACCAGCAAGAATTCATGGGGATTAGTTCTGTGGAACATCTCCAGCCCCAATGCTGACCAACAGCGAGATGAATTCTCTGCTGCAAAGCCACATCCATCCAGCACTGTCACTGCAGCAGAGCCTGGCTGATATTATATGTGCTGTCCTTCCAAGAAGGATTATTAAGGAGAACACAACCAGTGTTCAGCAAAATAAGGATGGCAAACAACATCTGTTTATTTAAACTAAAGATAGTCCCACATTCTCCAAAGATACTACCTTTTCTTTCATCCATTAAATCACTGGGCATTTTCTAGAGGCTGGGACTTCTACTACGGTGCTATGGTTCCTGCAGGGAAATAAGAGAAACTATCCACAACTCAGTGGAAATGTGAAGTACCCCACTTTGTTGGATACACTGACCCTGGCAGCCACCAGTGGCCTCAACGCCTGCTTAACTACCTTCCCATTACTCAGAAGAGTAATTCCCAGCTCATACATCAAAATTCAGCCACAGCAGGTCTCCACTTCGGTCTCCCCATCTCCTAGCTAACATGATCTTTCCAAGAGCGACAGGTAAGTACAGCAAGATGAGGTATGGATAAGCCTATAGGTGGCACTCTTGCCCTGACACAACACTGAAGGATCATGAAGCACTAGTCCTCCTTTCCCTTAGAAGAGAGAGGCTCATGTCCATTAAGAAACCCATTAAAAGCATTAATTCCACAAAGCACTTTTAATGAACATTTTCGATTTTATTGTCAACACACTTAAAAACAGAAACCTGTGTTCAAAACAATTATTTTTGAGTACCGAAATACAAAATATTTCACACAGAAGTTTGTTATTGCAACACAAACAGAAGTGAGACGTAGAATATGCCGATGTGTATTATATGTGCTCCAAGTCATCACAAGTTTAAGAACTGTACCACTACAGAATTGTCACACAGGAAAGTGAACATTTGACTGTTTTTAAGTATCACTGCTGCATTTCTAGTATTAGGCATTTACTTGAAAACTTCCTAGCAGTGGACACAGAATAGGATAATTTTGTGTTCAAGGTTTGTTTTGAAAGCACCATGACAACAGACTGTTCAAACTACTTCCTTACAGAGGGAAGTCTAAACAGAGACAATTATTGCAGTTATGGCTTTTTAGGGGTAATGTTTACTATTATCTATGAGAGGTTTGTGAATATACAATAACAAGCAAAATCAGTATTTCCTCATAGTTCCTCCTAGAAAGCAAAACCAGTGTTGTCCATTTAAAATTTGTTCTTTTTATAGTAAAGAAAGCAAACTCTTATATTCTATACAAAATGTATGTGCTTGGCCAGGCACTGACCAGCTTTCCCTTCTTCTAGATTCTGTAAAACTAAACTAACCCAAACACGCAAAACTTCTTTATTGGTTACCAGCAAAGAAGCTCTGCCAACTTTACACAATAAATAGATTTCTGCTTAATTTAAGTTTCTTTCCAAAGAGTGACATGACTAAATTAGTTGTATCGGACAGTGACACACGTATCATGCTCCATCACCAAGACCCTAAGCTTAGAAGGGGAGAGAGGAATGGAGCAAGGGGAAAGGAATGTCTGTTCTAAAACGACTGAAAGATTTATGCTGCACTTTGCTTTTCTCTTAAAGGTCCTGAAGAAAGGTTTTCGAAAGCTACCTCAAGGTTACTTCTCACATAAGCAACTCGGTTCAAAATTCAACTTTGAACAGCATCTTTTCCTGAAAAACTGAGACAACCCTGCAGTCTGACACTTAATGACATTCCTGGCTTGTAACAACACATATTCGTCACTCTGCTCATCGTTTGCTTGATCGCTTTTCATGCTTATCCTTTGTGTGCTGGTTCCTGTTTCGGTGCCTTGGAGGAGAGTAGCTGACTCTCCTTCTGGACTGAAAGCTGGGTGTATATGGGTGAATTCTGCGCTTCTTTGGTTTTTCTTCTTTCCTGCTTTTGTTTGGCTCAGGCTCCTTACTGTCTTCCTTTTGCTCATGCTCTTGGTCTTGTTCTTTTTGAGATGGTAACGTGTTTTTGATGGTATTAATAAGAAATCTTTTATTTGTACCAGCAAGAGGACATTTCAACCTGTAAAGACATTTAAAAGTGATCAAAAGACAAGATAAAAACATCCTGAAACACGTCTGAGATTTTAACTTCAATAATTTTGAGACAGGTTTGTGCTTTTGGCTTTCCTTGCATGCCACCTAGTGTAAACTCTCAGTACAGAAAGATATGCTCAAGGTTGTCTCCATTCTCCTTTTATCTTACTCTTTATAGGATGAAAATTATTCTACTTCAACACAGTGAAAATCCACATGATTTTCACAAGGTAGTGTGTGCAGGGGGAAGCAGAGGACAACAATATATTTTAAGGTTGATGGTGCTTAACTTAGGTATTCAGGAATCAAGTATTTAGCAACATATCCTGAGTCAAATCGGAATGGTTTACAAGATCATAATCTACTAAAGTCAGAATTATTTAACAAACTGAGATATTCAGAAAGTAAAAGGTACACTTACATGCAGAACGCAAACAGCTGTAGTGATAAAACATATACATGAGGCATACCATTTTTAACTTATATCTGGCAACCACCAAACAAAATGTTTTATTTCTTTTTCTTAAACAGAAAGGATACTTATCCAACTCTTTTCCATTGTTTCTGACTTTATCCTCTTGCAGCTTAACACTTTTGCACATAATTTATCAGCTAGTTTTAGTAAACAAGTACTGTACATTTAATTTGTCTTGTTGGTATCAGCTGTACTCTACTTATTCCCAATTTATCATCTCTTAAAGAATGGAATGAGAAAAAACAAGTTTGAATTTATTCCTGCAGTAAGTAGAAATCACGCTGAAGACTTTGTTTATAGCGGGAGCCACCGTGGTGCTTGTCTTCACAAGATTTTTAAGTCTGCATGCTAATGGAAAAGTAACATGATTACTCTAAAAAAGCAGAGCTGTTGGAGATCACAGTGCCACTTACTGAATCAACTATGGAGTCAATGAATTCTAACACCACAACGTTAAGATCAGCTATTTTACTTGAACATTTTGTGTAAGTGTAGAAACTATACCCTGACCATTTAAAAACCTTTGACACCTCTGAATAATCAGAGGTATCAAGAAGAACAACAAGAAAATTGTGACAAAGATCCCATCTGATTATTTAGCACACTTCATGACTTTTAACTGGACGTGGCATTTACCGTGGTGCTTTGCTTCAGGTCTGCCTACTAAGCATTACTGATAATTGTTCTTGTCCTAAATCCTCAAAGAACTTATGAGAGTCATTTTAGAAGTATACCTTAAACAGTTACACTGTTTTATTTCCACTAGGTATTTCCCGACACATTTCTACAGCACAACTAATTTTAGAGTTTTCTAAACTTTCTGCATATAAATCTACACTGTTTTGCTCAAATCCTGCTTAAAAAAATTTTTTTAAAAAGTTTGTATCTGTATCTAGTATAGCTGTTTTGTCAATTAGGGAGACAGTATTTATCCATTAACTGTATTACTAAGTGAAAATACACAGCTAACATATGTCAGTAAACTAGGGTTTGTACTTCGAGCTACATCAGCTATGAACATGGTGCTGAACATGCCATGGCACAGGTTACACTCAAGACAACACAAAACAGCCAACATTTAAGTCCTCTGTATGTCTTATGCCAGCATTAAACTGTTGTACCTTAACACTTCCTACCAAGGAGGGCAGCTTTCTCTAGGGTGCATCCAGCGAAAAAACTATTTCACATTTGTCTCCTCCTTCTTGCTTTTTCTTAAAAGCCAGTGCATTGATTAAGCACTAATATATATAGCACCAGAATGAGACAATCTGCCCTAAATAAATTCACCTTGCTGAAGTATTTATTTCTTTTTGGCACTATGAGCGCTGCCCGAGCTATACTAAGAATGAAAACCGATCAGAAATGCAGGGCTTCAGAGTCAGCTAAAAGATGCCATTAGTTCTCCATCATACAGTGATAAAAGTGACCCACCGGGCTTTCATGGAGCAGCAGTTAGTTATGGCACTGAAGAGAAACATCCGTCCTTAGTTTTATTGATCTCAGACTTCAACAAAGCAAATTCTGCCTTTAAGTCTTAAAGAAAAGGAGATGTATGGCGCACGCTACATTACACATGCATACACAAGCCCATAATGTTTACATATAACCATGGTATATATAGGACTGTGAAGATTAAAAGTGAACTGTACTAATCCACTGGTATCTTTGAGAGCATTTCTAATGGTGAGAAAACTGTAGAATACTTCTACAGTTGACGTCCCCGAAGACCAGCCTTTGGCTTGCTGTAGGTCTGATCCTGCAATGCTCAATTCAAGGACAGCTTTGCCGTCAATGTAAGTTCTGAAGGGCTGGGAGACAAGCTCAGGCTATGCAAGGTGGAACACAATACTGCTGACTAGCGAACAGTGCCACAGAACAGCTTTTAAAAGCTTTTCTTTTCTTAAAAAAAATAGTAAAAGACACGTTAAAAAAAACATTAAAGTTCCAAACTGAAGTGTGCCTGAAGCAGGGCTGCAGGCGTGACCAAAGCAAGCACGCAACCTGCAATTCTAGAGCAGCCTTGTCTACAAAACAGACTCCAGTTCTGTAGCAATGTATTCACTCAATGTAAAGGTTCACTTTTTGTTTTTCATGCTCCAAGAAGCTAAATCAAGCTGTTCTTACCTACAGACCCTCATCCCCCTCCACAGACAAGTCCCACACACCCCGAAATCTCTCCACTATGCAATGATGAAGTGTCAACGTTGCATTTTGAGCAAGAAAAAAATATTAAATCCATTATTGCGAACATAGGTCAAATCTTAACCCTACTTTTGACGTTTTAAGCCAACTTTTGTGCAATAACACAGAATTTCCAGTCAATACCTGTCATCAAGTGTAGCAGTGCAGGTTAGCACAGAATTGTATCATACAACTTCTTATCGGTAAAACACACTGACACCACTTAAGACACAAGAGTACAGTGCCACGTGCCACAGCCTTTTCTCTGCTGAGTAACTGGACATATCAAACAGGCTTGGTACAGTCAGCCTCGGCATACGGAGTAAATCAGATCCTTCCAGGAAACACAGTTCATTATGCATGAACTTACAAGTACATTTCCACCACTTCCAAACTGCCATGGAAAATACAGTACTTAACAGAAGAGTGACTGAAGGCAAAAAAAAAAAAAAGCAGGTAGAGGTTGTTTTGCCAAACCAACTAATCTAGGCTGTTATCCTTTCACAGGGGATCTCACAAAAGAGGATGCCTGGGACAACACTGTAAGCTTTTATGTTAGTCTTGGCAGTAGATACAGCTGGCAGGACTTTGGATAGGAACCTGTGCTCTAATCACAAGCTTTTAACATATTTACTCTGCGACCTCTGTCTGTACCCTGTTTCTCCTCCTTTTCACATTCAAATGAAAGAGATGTAGTGGAATCACATTGCAGTGTTTATGCACAGTCATGCAACACCCATTCAAAGACAAGATGCAATACAGTATTTCGCAATTCCAGTGCCCTCAAACCCTTCAGCCTCATCTTCATTATTTTGTATTCTGCAGTACTTCTAACAGATTTGGTATTGAACAGAAAGCTAGCTATAGGAATGAAAGCAATTTTAGGATTGCTTTACAAGAAATAGGGTTAAAAATAATTTAATGCTTCCAACATTTACCTTCTTTTTGCAATTTCATCTGCTCTTACAATGCAAAGTTGAACAAACCATCCCAAAATATCCTCTTTTCCATATCTTATTTTAGTAAGCAGAGAAGATCAGTTCAGCCTTAGCTCACTTTCTACCAGCATCTTTGAAGACCAGACCTATACATTGGAGAAAAAAAAAAAAAAGCCTCTAGAACTTGTCTACACAGTAGCTTTTGTGGCATTTTAACCGCTTTTCTCAACTAAAGCAGAACAACCCCTTAAAATGGGACCTAACTCCACTGCTATAACAAGCTTATAAATTATGTACATAGAACCAACAAAATCACTTAAGGAAAGCTGAGCTTTTAGCTTGATTTTACCTAGACACACAATGGAAATCCCAGTATCTTACAGCTTTATTCCATCTGATGAATCAAGGATATAGTTATCTAACCATTTCAAGTGTTCTTACACTATTTGTCCACAACTTTCCATCCCGGATCCAGCTGGCCCTTCAAGTGTTAACTTTCAGACATCTGGTCTGATGTCTTTTCTTATCTCAGAAGTTCCAGCATCACAGCAGCATCACTGAGATTTAGCCACAGATTCTGCTCTCTTTTGCTCAATGTTTCCGGGATTAAGACATCTTCAGAAGAGGATCCTCCCTTCCCCTTCTCTCGTACATTTTCTTACTTGTGATTAGCTCTGCTAATGCTTGAAACAGATACATCATCAGCAGGATCTACATCATGTGGTATCATAAGGATGTAGAAGACCCCCAACAAGAATCACTACAGCCATAGAGTGCATACGAAAGGAGCACTGCAGGAACTAGAAATACTGTGGTGCTGAGAGCAAGAATCTTGAGGACATCCAAGGAACAAGTCAACGCTGAAGAGCCAGTAATGCAAGATCTACAAACACCAATATCCAGTATTTCTTGGATGAATTTGCCATGGACCTAGATACTATCAATCTAAGCAGTCCTGAGAGCACGGAGGTGAGTAAGCTAGGACTCCTAACCAACTAAGAGCACATACAGCCCATTGGCAATACTGACAGTTGCTCCATGTCCAGAGAGTCTCAGATTATGTCCCCTCCCGCATAAGTTCTTGCCTGATATCACCGCCAAACTCCCTGTTTGGGACAAGCCTTTTTTCTACTGGCATCTAACCCCTACAGCTTGCACCACCTACCCATGTCATCCACAGCAAACTGGTAGGACAATGTAACATTGGCAAAACATTCCCAAACTGGAAGAAATACTAGCAACACTGTCCCATATTTCAAGACTGAGTCTTTGTATCACAGACTGTGGGCTAAAGGATGACCGCCTGGTACATTTTTTCTGCACCTGTCAGCTATGCTAGCTTGGATGCTTGCAATTTAGGCTCAAAGAGCAGCTGACTATCCATCTCACACAATGAGACAGCAAAAAGTTAGGTAGGGGTGCTTGGGGAATTTCTTCAAGCAGTGCACTTGAGCTATGGAGAACTAATCACCTGGGACAGTAATGGAGCAGTGGCTTGAACCTGAAAGCAATCCCAAAACTGTGTTCAGAGGCTTGCTGGCTAAGGTTTTGCTGCCATCAACACCCACCAGGAGACACTATTCCTTTGTAATTTTTTTTTTCCACCTCCCCACACACCTCCCTTTAACCAATTCCTGTCAAATGCCACTGACTCCAGAAATCTGTTTACCAATATCCAACAGCTGCTGGAGAGCAACATAAACTGGAATCAGTGAAGTATGAGCAGTAGCAGCCTCTGCTTCTCCTTACCCAAAGACAGATGGCAGAACAAATCTTTTCTTCATAGGCCGAGTTGCTTCAACTATCCAGTGCCAATGCAGGATTGATGGCCTTACACTAGATGTCTCCAGGGTTTGTGCATCTCTTCTTCAGGACTCCTCTGACAAAGGGCTGAGGAAATCCCAGAAGTCCTCATGAAACACACCTGTAAGCATTTTGAGTTTGGCAAGGAAGGAAGGTTTTGCGTTTTACCTGTTAAGACTGTGCTTTTAGACAAGTTTGTGATGACCTTGTCTCTTTGCTTCTACCAGTTATGCTTTCCTGGATTTGGTCTACTAATACACATTTTCATGAACTAACTTTTCTGCTCATTTCATTTGGTATCCACAAAGCTCAGAGCAGCAGTCACCTTCCTTTCAGTAGTTTACAGTTCCAAGGTTACATGTCAGTCCTGGATCTAACCTTTGAAGCCCTTCAGGATTTACCGTAACATCAGTTACATCTGATGGCATTTTGCTAGAGTGTGATACTCAACTGAGCATAGTTAAATTTCCTTCCAAATATCTTACCGGTTATTTCATCTCCCACATATATATGCAATACCTAGTTGTTGGCCCAGTTCAGAAGGACCAGAACAGCACAATGGGGCACGAAAAAAATATTAAAGGGAAGAGAGCAGTGGCAGCTTCCAGCTGCTGTTCTGCCTCTTGCACTGCAGAACCAGACACCAAAGACTTATTGGGAATTTGACTATGGGGGGTTTTATACCTTCCTTATGGCCATACACACCAGCTGTACACTAGCCTATGCCAAACTCTACGGCAGCAGATTTGTGACAAATGGGATTACTACCAGTCATTCTAAGGATAAATTCAGAGAAGGAAAAATCCCTGGAGAAGCATCATATACAAAAAAAATAATCTCTGAGCACAGGATATCCTGAGCTGCAGACTGCCTGAAGCTGGGATAGTACCTTGAGGAAGTACCGCCACTTTTCTGTACTCTTCTTCCTCCATTTCCTAAGCACTGGCTATCAGCCACTGATGGAGACGGCACTGCAGAGATGGGTCCTTTGTTTGACCCAGTATAGCTATTCTCATGTGCCTCTGCAGCTGGAAGGATCCTTACTTCAACAGTCTCAGGTCAGGATATCATCATGCCAATCCCTATGTCAACAGCCTTCCTCTCCCTGAAGCCTTCTTGACAATCTTCTCCTCCTACACCTTTAACACAACCCTGGCCTAGCCAGCCACTATTTCACTCTAGTGGAATCTTAAGCTGTTCTGAAGAACAGGTCACCCTTGGCTATCCCCTCCTCTGGCAGGTCTTGGGCATCAGGCTTTAGCAAACTGCATGTTACCCCGAGCTGACCATCACAGACAGCTGAGCAGGACCGCTACTCTTTTACAGACAAGGAATAAGAAGTAGCTGGAGCCAGGAGTAGAAGCCCATACACACTCCTGGCAGGTATTCCAGACTGCACAAGCAGCAGCGAAGTTGCACAGGGATGCTTGGTTATCTCCCAACAAAAAATCTTTAGTCTCCAAACCTGGAATTAACTTGCAAATTCACAGTAACTGGATGCATGCAACACTTCACAGTGCTAATTATCTGCATTGGTTTCCCTGACCATTTGGCAAGGCTGACAGGCTAAAAGCAAGCCGTATCAGTATAGCTATAACCACTCTAGGGGATTAAACCAATTCAACTTTTTTAACACAAAGGGTATAAATTGCATCCCTAACAGAAATACTGGGTAAAATATACCAAAACTTGCTTAGAAAACATAAAAGATTAACTTTTTTCAGCAAGACACTGTTTTAATCTCTTCAGAGCTACTAAAACAAACGTAGCCAAGAAATCAGCTAAGAACTTCATTAACAGCGCAGGCTTATCTTTTACTACTGTTGGTGGAGGAAGCCAAACCTTATCTACAAATTAATTTAACGCAGTCAACTGGGGCACTACTTGTGTGAACATGGCTAGATCTGACAGCTAATTATCAAAGCCATATATATTATTTTACAATGAATGACTCTTCTCAGCATGTTATTACTTCTTTAATTACAACTACATGCATTACATTCCGTGATAATCTAGCTGTAAAAACTGAAATACTGCATTGAAGAATTAATACTGTATTTCACTTAAGATTGAAATACTATGATTCTTTTCCCACTTGCCATACAAATTAGTCCTTGAGTTTTAGGGCTTTTTTTTAGTATTAAAAAATACTTCCTTCCAAAACTGGATTATACTTTGAGTTCATTTTTGACTGCAATTTACACATGGATTCTCTACTAGCGGATCATTTATTATTTTTATTGTTTTAAGGGTTTAGGTTTCTTTGTTGGGCTATGGATTCTTTTAACTTAAACAGAATCTAACCCAGTAACGTGGCCAGTATGTAAGTACATGCACACTGAAGCTACCCAGTATTTTAAAGACTCACGAGGTTACAATCCAAACTTTGCAATTCCATCTATTATACGGAAATACTATTACAGAAGCTACTCTCGGTTTTCCAATTGCTTTGACTTCAACACATTCAGTCAAGCAATTTCATGCAGGTAGAATTTACTTCAACTTCTTTCTTATCTGGACACAAATTTTTGCCCAGACAAATTAATACCTGGATGAAGACAAATTATTTAAACATGAAGCAAATTAAAAGGTATAGACTTCTGTCACACATTAAATGTAAAATTTATTTTGGCATCGGTCACAGCATTCATTTCCTCTTGGCACAACTTACCAACCCATAGCTCCCATTGTTTCAGCTCTGGTTCTCCCACGTTTTGCCTCTTTAAGTAACTCTTCCACAGCCTTCCTAAATATGAGGAAAAGAAAAAAGTTACCACTTGCAGAACACAAGAACTTGCCACTTTATGCACTTATGTAAATAAAGTGGACAGCTTCTTCACTGTAATGAATAAAGCAATAAAGAGGCTAACAAAATCACCTTGACTTTCTTACTAAGATAATTCACATTCCTATGTGCCAAGATGAAAGGAAACATTTTGACACATTAAAAGCAATTAAAGCTATTGCAAATACAACAATTGCAATACTAATTGAAGAGTAGAAATAAAGCGTGCAAAACTAGTGTACCGCGCTGAAAAGCACAGTCCCTATTACGCCACTTTGGGAATACTTTTCCCTGCTGTCACTTCACTTAGGTTCTTCCTAAAGTCTTTCAACCACAGCAGGCCTATTTTGAGCACAGTTAAACACCACCAGTAAACCAGCAAGCAGTCAGGTGACAGTAAAATCACTGCAACTACCAGTTGTCAAACTGCACTAGCTTTGTTTAACAGTGGAAGAAAAGAGCTCATCTTTGTGACTATGATCCATCACCATCCCAAATGACCAACCTTTACGTTATCAGCATCTTCTAGAACAAACTGGACTAAAGCAATTAAACAACTACGCTCACATAAAAAGTCATCGGAAAGTGTAAATTATGCAAATTATAGGTAACTCCTGCAATGTCAGTCTTTCAGTTCTTTTTACGAATTAATTTCAGTCTCAAATAAAACTTAAGTAACTGCTCTAGTACATGGTTAAGTCAATGGGAAAACCAATGAACGGATAATAAACACCACTGACATGGGTAAGTCTGAAGGCTTGAGGAACTGAAGACAGGAGGTAATAAAGAGGGTATTTATTGTTTAGCTCTCCCAGCTATGATGTGCCAGAATGGCTACTGGCATTTGGACTATGTGAGCAACACAATCATCATCCTGATAGTACAAGTCTGTGTGTAGACTGTGCAAAAAAAGGTAACTGCCAACAGACTTTTACTCAAACTTCAAGGAAACCATGTTCCATCATGTTGCTATGGTATTACCAGCATAGCAGGATTTTGCTGCTTTGCCACAGATTAAAAAAACCCTGAGTATCCATTTTGTTGTCAAGCCAAAATTGAGTCTAGAGAAGTCAAGAGTCATCATCTAATAGCAGAAGCAGGTCTGAGAAGGAAAACAAGCAATTTATATAGCAGGCCCATGTGAAGACCTAACAAGTTAATGCTGGACTCTAAACATCTAACAAAGTGGTTTATTACTATTTAGGTTATTAAAGACATAGAAAACACAAGAGGTCTTAGCTTTAAATGCATACACTGCATATGCATAACAGAGAATGAAAATCGGCAGTACAGAATTTCCTTCAGTAGCTAATGAGAAAACATTATGCAGTTACACGGCAGCCTACATCTGTCAATCTAGATCTAACCTTCTTCAGTTTGTTATGATCTAAATATAAGCCTTTACCGGCTCCCTTCACCTTTGTGATCATGGATTCGTTCATTCATTGGGATGGGCTGGTGACATTTTATGAACACAGACACAGTTTTTCTTCTCTCTGTATTGCTTTTGGGCACGCTTTGGTTTTCCCTGGCAATAGAAAACAAATTGGTGCTAATGAGTGTGCTGGTTTTGGCTGGCATAGAGTTAATTTTCTTCATAGCAGCTGGTATGGGGCTATGTTTTGGATTTGTGCTGGAAACCCTTGTTGATAACACAGGGATGTTTTCACTGTTGCTGAGCAGTGCTTACACAGAGTCAAGGCCTTTTCTGCTCCTCACCCCACCCCTCCACGAGCAGGCTGGGGGCGCACAAGAAGGTGGGAGGGGACATGGCTGGGACTGCTGACCCCAACTGACCAAAGGAATATTCCATACCTTATGATGTCACGCCTAGCAATATAAAAGCTGAGGGAAGAAGAAGGAAGGGGAGATGCTCGGAGTGATGGCGTTTGTCTGCCCAAGTAACCGTTACGCATGATGGAGCCCTGCTTTCCTGGAGATGGCTGAACACCTGCCTGCCAATGGGAAGGAGTGAATGAATTCCTTGTTTCACTTTGCTTGTGTGCCCGGCTTTTGCTTTACCTATTAAACTGTCTTTATCTCAACCCATGAGTTTTCTCACATTTACTCTCCTGATTCTCTCCCCCATCCCACTGTGGGGGGAGTGAGCGAGTGGCTGTGTGGGCTTAGTTGCTGGCTTGAGTTAAACCACAACAATGAGTACAAGTGTAATGTAGCTACCCTTTCTACAATTACCCTGCAGTTCTGCTTGAATATAGTTTTCTTATTTTATACTTACAACCAGCTATCACATAACTACTTCCTTACTTTATAGTAATTTCCAGCAAGCAATATTTTAGCTAAGGATTCCTAAACAAGCCTCCAGAATCAGTCACAAGTTCTCAAACAACATATAAATAATCCTTGAACTCCTTTATTCCAAGGGAAAACCATTCCATCCCACAAAAGTCTGAGATCTGTGCCAGATAGACATGCAAATACTCACAGGTCGTAACTTTTTCCTTTGAGAGTTTGCATTTGAAAGGCTTTTCAGAGGAAAGCATCCAAGACTTCCACAGAAACAACAGTAGAGAAATGCACGAAAAACTGTGGTATTGCTTCTCTATGCACTAGTCTATTAATGGCACATTGGTTTAAGGTTCCTCACAGAAGTCTGTCTCTCTCTCTCATATAAGGTTATTAGTATCATCTCAGTAGCAGCTGGGCTTGGGGTACTTCAAATACTTTTTTAAGCATACATCTGACTGTGAGGACATGTTGCATATCCAGTCATATCACAGGCATTCATGGAAACCAAGTATCTGCCCAGGTAAGCTGTCACCCGTTCGAGTTACCTGCACCCAGATGCTAAGTACAGCGTCAGCAACCTCACCAGCTACTGCTGCCTTCCCAGGTAGGAGCAGTGGGGTGTGTGGGATGGCTACTCCCCAAGAACAAAAAAAACAGGGTAGGAAACACAGGCTCTACCACTGAAACGTGGGAGATGTTGAATACACAGGTCCCCGTGAAATTATGGCAAAATTTATTTCTTCTCCAGACCCAGAATTTGCTATCTGAGCAGCCTGAGCTAGTTTATAGTGATGACAGCAGGAACATGTAGCCTTTATAAAAGCTTGTCCTGAGCATTCAAACAGCAATGTCAGACAAAGTAAAAGTGTCTGACTTTTACTTACCACAGTTACCAAACTTAGTGATTCTGTTTTGAGAAACCTGACTAGAAGGCAGATTAAAAGTCTGTCATTATTATTATATTACAAAATCTGCCATTATTTTTTAATTAAAATCATAAACGAAAGTATCTAAGCTACAAAGCACTAATAAATCACACACACATACATATTTTAAACAGCTACGACTCAGTTTTAGGGGAAACATCACAGTAAATTAAGACGGTGACACCAATTCTATTAACTTAGGTAGGAATTATAAGCCATTAAGTATTTGAGACTTTTCTTTTGCTCTGGCTATATCAAAAATCAGACTGACTTGGCATCCATTTTAGTAGCCTTATAAGTCGACATCATCTTTTCTTATCAAACGTTGTTTCCTAATATTGGTTTTTCAACATCACTCTTATTCACTGCACCTTTACAAAGCCCTTTCGACTTGCACAGACAAATGAAAAAATGCTCAGATCCTCTTTGAAATAATGCGTTTCCACTCACTGAACTTATATCCTCTACACAAGTAAGCCAAAAGCTTAAAAGCTATGCAAACAAGGTTTTTACATTTGCTTTTAGAGGCCTCTTGGGACTCAGCATTCCTTGCTCTCCATTTTTACAGCTTGGTTACAATACAAACAGTCCTGTGGCTGCCAGCTTCAGCTCCAAGAGCAGCAGCATGAGCAAAGGGAACACAGCACGCAACGTTCACATGAGAAGAACTCAAACACTGGGGGATTGATAGGAGGGAAAATTTGGGACAGGGGCACATTTAAGAACACCGTCATCATTCTGGCACCTTTTATAGCAAGCACCACTTAAAACTTGCTGTGGCAATCCTTTTTGAGCAGCTAAGCTTAGCTGCAGAATTACAGCTACATGAATGTAAAAGCAATGATGTTTTTATCTTCAAGAGTATGGTCCAAGACCTATTTACATTACTGAGGGATTACACTTTTTCCTCTATATTCCAAAGTTACAGGCAAAGCTCTCGTTGCATAAACCCTAACAACATGCATCACAAATGTATGTGCCCAAAGAATGGGAGAATGTTAAAGACTCCAAAGTCAGGCAAAATCAGAGATATT